CATTTATTGTTGTTGTTATATAGGATAAAATGAAAACTTTTTAAACAATATTTATCAGTTTGACATACAAAAAAAGATAAGGAAAGAATAATCAATTAATTAGCTTACAGATGGTAAAAAGGATCTCATTTATTTCTTTAGAACATTAAAATTGCACATACTTTAAGCTGGTATAGTAGCTAACTATGTTTACAAAAGACCTTTAATTCAGTTATAAACTAAACAGTAAATTTAGTATCATCATAAAAAGAGGGTGAAAAGAAATACAAAAGATTAATTGTTAAAATTTTTCAACCAGCTGTGTCTGTTGAATATGCTTAACAAGATCTAGGGTCTATGGTATTTATGGTGGCTGTATAGTTTCTAGATTCTATCTTTCTTTTCTTTTTTTTCTGTAAGTCAACTACATTCTTACCCTTTGAGAAATAAAGGATGCTTCATTCTTTACTCCAGAGAATAATTTGTTAAAAAGGGAGGCATTCAAGGAAGATTTTTTTTAAATGGGTGAATGGCTATATTTTTGAGGAAGATTTTTGTATACTTCTTTATAAACTATTTTCTATATGTCCCACTTAAATATTCAAAAACTTATTTTTGAGTTTATTCCCTAATCTTTTGTTATTTGAACAATCTGAAAGGTTATCAGAAAAAAATAATCGGGAAGATTTTTGAATTTACTATCGTCATATAAAAAGTTATTTAAATTTTCCAAGTCTGGTGGACTGATAGAATCATTAAAATTTAAAGGGCTGATGTCACAACTAATGCCAAAATTAAATTTCTATGAAAGCTTTACAGGCCCCAAATTTTCTTCTTCCCTTACTTCCCTTCCTCATCTGCTTCTTCCTTTCCTCTTTCTCCCTCCTTCTCTTCAGTACTCCTCCTCCTCCTCTTGTTTCTCCACCTCCTCTTTGTCCTTTTCACTTCTTTTTAGCTTTTGTTCCCCCTGTCACCTGGAGGGCCTTTACCTGTGCTCTATGAATAAAATTCAAAAGCTATCTAAGGGATTCAATTGTGGATGATTCAATGAGATCTCACTTCTTTAAGAACTAAAGGAGTTTAGTGTGCACAGCTTTTGTAAACTGCAGCATCATTTTGGTTGGTGTTCTCAATAAGAAGTTTCTGGTTTCCTGAATATTGAAGAGTGGGGAGATAGTGGTGACAGGCAGTAAGAACACTTCAAGGTGGTGGGAAAGGAAGGTACAATAAAAAATAAGAGCAGATGAGTTTGAATGAATTGATGAAGTGGCCCTAGGACTCTGGTCTGTGCTTTATACCATTTCCTTATTTTTACCTTTCCTTATGTCATTTATACTTGGATTCTCTTACTCCTTACCCATTTGCTATACTAAGACCCAACTGTATATAACCAGTTATAAGAGAAAATGTAAACAAGTAACAATGTAGCATCAATGAGAGGAGGGTAGAGAATTTTATGTATTGATTTTTTTAATGAAATAATTCTATGTTATTTTAAAATAAAAGTCAAAGCACGGTGCTTCATGGGGGGCAATGAAATGTTAACGTTAACACTATCCTACACAAAAATGTTTATATTAAAAAAAAAAAACCTGGATCTGTATCAATCAACTCACTATCTGAGGGTATTCACTTACTATCTATATACCAATTAAATTACACAAAATACAAATAAAAGTTAAACATGGTATGTATGATTTAGGGGGAAGGATATTCACTATTGTTATCTTATTTCTTCAGGGTAGTTCATTCAATATGCTAACACAAGCTCTGTTCCATTCCATTGTATCTACTGGCATTACTGGTGTTTGTGGTCCTGCTCAAGAAAGGACTGTTATTAGACTATAAATGTGGAGATAAAAGTTCATCCTCCATGACTGAATGATCAGGATACCAAAGTAAATAATACCAGATCATGAGTATTAATGCAAATCATAGGTATTAACAAAGAGTTTGACATTTTCTGGAAGCTCCCCAGAGTTATCAGGCTGATTGTTATTGTTACAAACATCAGTTAATAAGTAATTCTAAAATATTTGCTTAAACTCAGAGAGGAAGCTGTGGGAGAAAATTTGATATGCTTTCAGAGCATTAGCTCTCAAACTAAGCTTCTCAGTAGAATTGCTTAGAAAAAATTAAAAATAACTATTACCTAAGTCCTACTCCAGAGATTTTGACTATATTGGTATGTGATGCAACCTGGAAACTGAAGGTGTTAAAACTCAGACAATTGGAATGTGTAGTTCAGATGACCCAGGCAGTGAATCTGCAATGCAGCTGAGAATTGGATGCTAAGACCTTGTGACCATAGTGTGATCTGAGGGCCAGTAGCATCTGCATTCTCTCATTCAGAATGTAGATTCTCTGGCCCTGATCTGACACTTAAGGAGAACAAGGTGCATTTGAAGAAGACTCCTCTATGTTCCTGCACATTTAATTTTGAGAAGCATTTACAACTGAGTCCCCAGATGTTCTTGAATCTTTGTGTAAAGGTTGTAGTTAAAAGTTCTTTTGGGCCCTCCCTGGTGGCACAGTGGGTTAAAGCACAGAACTAAAAAGCTAAAGCCACATCAGCATGAGTCTACCCCGGAGGTGACCACATGGTGCAGTAGACCTCTCCTGGCCCGCTGCTGCTCCCCTCAGAAGTGTACTTCATCGATCTGCCTGTTCTGCTCCCCACTCTGGTGAATCCTCTCACGGTCTCTGTACCTTTGGCTTGTACCCCAGTTCTGTATGCATAAATAAATCAATCTTAAAAAAGTTTTTTTCTAGCCCTAATCTGCACAACTTAACCCACAGGCTTCAATCTCAATTGAGTTTTACCAGTATGTTTTCCTAATGGAAAGAGCTACTTCTTTGTTACCATGCTTTAAGTTGGGTTTCTGACAAATGCCAGACTTTTAAAAGATTTTAAAAGAATTTTCCAAGCAGGAAAAAAAAGCTTGTTCCATTATAATGCTCACAAGCAGTTTTTTTCTAACTCCAGTTGCATATTTATAACTACCTGTGACTTTTAAAATATGTGTTAGATCTATGAATTCTGATTTTGGGCGGTAGAGTTCTAACATTAGCATTTTTTTTAAAGATTTATTTATTTATTCATATAGAGCTGGGGTACAGGCCAGAGATGCGGAGGGTGAGAGGATTCACCAGAGACAGAGTGGGGTGCAGAACAGGCAGATCGACGAAGTACACTGCTGAGGGGAGCAGCAGGCTGGTCAGGAGAGGTCTGCCTCGCCATGTGGATCTCCTCCGGAGCAGGCGGGAATTGAACTCGTGCGCAAGTGGCTTAAGCTTCTTAGTGCTGTGCTTTAACCCGCTGCGCCACCAGGGAGGGCCCTCTAACATTAGCATTTTTAAAATTCCCAGTGCAGTTAGTGTACTACTGGTTTTGAGAACTACTTATCTGCATTAATAAAGTAAAGGCAAGGATATAAATAGAAACACCCTATATTAACATCTGACTTTATAAACTAAAACATGTCATATCATTATGTTTTTGCCTTGTCAAATTTACAGGTAAATGTAAAAATTAGTTTGTCCTCCCTCCGTGCCTGCCAACTGAGAGTGGAAAGGGACACCTATCAGGGCTACTTGTCGGGAAGACATCAGCTTTTGTTTAAAACCCACAAAAAAACATGCTACTCAAACATGCTACCATCTTCTGACCTTGAACTAAAATTGCTTTTCAGTTGAAATGTTGGTCTTTGAAAATGAGTTGCTCTTCAAAAACCAGTTGAAAATGACTAAGATTTCAGATAACTTAAAGGGTGTTAAGCATGTAACTTAGTTGAACAAAAACAAGTATGAGCAGGGCTAGCTCTAAATCACTGCCAAAGAATTTATAAAATAAACTCCACAAAGTATAAAAAATTGCATAATATGTAGTCAAAAACACCCATCAAATAAATTATTTCTATCTTGAAAATAAAAGCTCAAAACACAAAATTTCATTGCAAGTTAAAATGGTTATTCCTAAGTAGGTCATAACTCTGTTCCTTAGAATTATCTGTTAATAAATATTTGTCCTTAAGTAATTATCACAAACATAATTTGTAAGATATTATTAACATATTGCTCAGAAAGGGATTTTCAAGTCCAAAGATAAATAAAAGTGTTATCAAAGCCACACAGCCCTCTTTGTCAGAGCTTTAGACAGATGCTAGAAGACTTCCTTAACCTTAACCTTCTATGATCAGGACAGGTCTTTGAAAACTGATGATTTACATTTTTAACTTATGTCTTTAGGTACTATCTACATAAAACTCTAGAGGCCTCAGGCTATAAATGATCTTAATTTAAAAACTTTCCTCTCTTCCACTTGGCTTATATTCTTTCTTAGGCCAAATTTTTAAGTCAAATGAGAATCTTTAATGATCTATGAAGAAAATCTATGGCAGTAAATTGTATTTAAATATAAAAGCATTATATATTTATGATTAAATGCTAAATAAATGATGAACCATTTAATTGAGAACAACCCCATCATTATGTGTACATTATAAACCTTTCTCATACATCTATTGTTGAAATACTGCCATTTTATCAAATCTTAAAAGCAAATCACACAGGAAAGAAAATAATGATCTTGGATAAGTTTGGGGTATGTAACAATAAGTTTAAGTAAGTAGCTGTTTTTCCCCTTTGGGTGATTATAGTTTATTTTTTTCTTTTATAGTTTTTGGAGTACGGAGACAGTTTTGTGCTTCCATTAATTTAAATGTCATGTTAATAATGCATAATCAAACATTTAAGAGGCAAAATTATGAACCAATTAAAGGTACGGAAAACTGCTTAGAAGAGGTACTGCCTCTAGCTTCTCCTGGAAACTACCTGTGTTACTGCCGGTTAAATACTTTATTGTCAGGCAGAAACAACCATCTTTGAAATGGAGGCTTGGCTAGATCTGCTCTAAGGTGACTTTTCATTCTCAAAACACACATGGAGTTTGTCATGGTATAGTGTGAATTACAAAAAGTTCAGGATAATGTTATTTCAGTTTTGATTTTGAGGATACTTACAGTTAGAGATGGTGGTCCTGGAGGTCCCATATCTCCCTAAAATAGATTAAAGTTACAGTTATCTATTGTTATTTTAAACATGTTACTTATAAATTTTCTGAATGATAGGGCAATATCTAAACAAATCTGAAAGGAAAGAAAATTAAAATTTCTTCTTGTTAAAAGCTTCTGTACGGTAAAAAATTCACAGTGTGATTTTTAACTCTCATGATATAAATATCACCTTGTGTGCCCCTAAACTTCGTGCAGTAGTAGAACTTGTTTTGAAAGCTAAAATAATCTAATTTTCTGGTCTTTTATCTATTAATACTAAATTACAAAAAATATCTCTACGAATGTGAATATTTTGCCAAAAGAGCATCTGGGAAATGTATGTCATAACTACAAATAATTTTTTTGACAAAGTTAGTATGATGATCAGCAAAAATAATAAATGGATCTCCCCACTTCATGCCTCCCAGCTGCAAGCAGTCTTATGCCTCTTCTAAAGCTCTGCTGAATTGGCATTGCTCTTGCTATCCCTGTAAGAGGCTATGTCTACATTATACATTTTAAAATACTAACACTGCTTTGCTGATCTATGTGAATATAAATCACCAGGTAGATGTACTGAAAAACTGTTCAAAATCTTTTTAAAACACTATATGTAAAAGTTCACTATTTTCTTAATTTATGTAACATTTTCATTCTTTATTGTAGCAGGCTTCCTATTTATTCATATACACTGTGAGTCATTAATGCCAAGTATCATTGCTCTGACCCTTGATTAAATAGACATTACAAAGATTGTATGCTGTGAGGTTTGGGCACTGGGATGTTGAATTTTCCTGTGGAGACTTTTCTCTTTTCTCATCGAATATAATCACCTCAAAAGTTAAGACTTACTGTTTTGTAATCATTATTTTGGGGAACAATTAAATAAAAGTAATCAATACTTGTTACAGAACATTGATCTAACTTACATCAGCCATTGAAGATTGAGTTCAAAGATCAACTTGAAAATAGATGTTAATACTAAAGATAAACAAGGATTTCTTAATGCACTAAGAATAGAGGACAAATGTAATATAAAACACCGCCACCTATAATTCTCATCAAATTGGGATCATCCAAAGACCTTATTCAAAATGATTCTTGCTTAACCACATCTTAATTCTCTTTTCAAGGTCACTACCATTATTCCATTATGAACAACATGTGGAAAAAGTGACAGGAAATGGAGCATTCAAAGATGAGATACAAAATTAGCCTTCTTTCCTTCAAAGGCCACCTGCTTCAACACTACAATAGCAGCTCAGTGCTATTGGCAATACTTTCCCCTACAGGACAGAGTAGCTAATTTGGTGATGGAATACTGAATGCTGTTAAGCAAAGTGAGAAAAGGAGAATCTTATAAATACAGATTAATGCCAACCAGCAGTGCATTTAGTCACTTCAAACCAATTAAATGAACTGAAAGGCTTTTTCTCCGTGAGATTTTTTTTACTTATGACAGTTAAACAATATCAATGAAAAGTCATTGCAAGGTTCACAGATATTTCTTAAGAAAAGATCATCATTTTCCCATGTGAATACAGTACCTTTTCTCCTTTTGGGCCAGGTAGACCACGAGGACCCAAATCACCTTTCAATCCCTGTACAAAGAATACAATCAATGTGATTTCTATACACAATTCATAGAAAGCTTCCATTTCTACCAAGTCATTAGTGACAAAATAAATCATAATTGACTGCACTCCCAAGTCCCATTCTTCAGTGTGTTTTATAGAGAGAAACAGAGACAACTGGCACTAAAATGATAAGCAACATCTGCGCAGTGGTGGGTGCAGATACATTAAATCAGTGTGAGTCCTCAATACTGCATATTTGTGCAACTTTGCTTCCTGCTAAAATTACATTAATTCACCATCTGGGAGAACATCATTCAGTCTATATGAGCTTTTAAGTATCCACTTTGGATTAAATTTGTGGATGTTGTAAATATCTCTGATTTAGCTTTGATTTGGCCTTTATAAAGCTTGTCAAAAATTCAAGAGTTAAATCAAAAACATTTTTATGCTTTTATCAAGAAAAATAATTGAGGGGGGGAAGGAATGAAGTATGTATTCTTTACCTTACGCTCATAAAGCTAGAACTAAAATGTAATTTCTTTCTTGTTTTAAAATGTATTTTAATTCCCTTTTTTAAACTTCGATTTATAAAGCTATCAAATGAAACTTTAAGACAAAGATAACATATCAGATAAATATATTCATAAATCTTCTGGACTCTTGAGAGTTTTAATGGATATCTGTTTGATCTGACTCAGAGATGACAGCTTTCGGGACGACTTCCATAGATTGCACTGGAGGAGATCAGTTCAACAGCTGAAAAGTATTCGCAGTGTAAATAGAAAAGAGTAAGATGGATACATCCTGACTCTGTGGTAAATAGGAAAAATATCTTCCTTAGTCCTTAATTTAACACATTGGATAGTAGAAGAACAATAATGGAAAATAGAAATATTCTGAAGCTACATAATGCATAGTAACTCTAGGTGTCTCACTGCTCATAATTGAGAGGTCCAGCTATTACTGCACTGACATTTTGTAGTGAGTAAACAATGCCAAGTGCTATCACCTATAGCTATTTACAGCGGAAGTCAGGGATGAATTTAAAGGAAACAATGAAAACTGAAGACTTATTCTTGTGGCAGAGAGTACTTGAAAACTATAATCTCATGCTTTAGAAGGTAATTTAGTGAATGTATAGAGAATTCTAATTGACCAAAACAAATACACTTTGCAGTTTCATAAAACTCATATTTGAGATGGAAAACCCACGGGGATTACAATTGAGATGGAAAAAAAAATGTACAAAATGATGTAAAAATAAACTGTTATAAAAATAATAATAATAAGATCTGCCAAGGCAAAAAAAAAAACTCATATTTGAGTTTTGAATTAAATTACAGCTATGTTTCTTTAATCATTACCATGGAGTATTTATAGAAAAAAGGCTGACTGAAAATTTTAAAATCCTTGAAATGTAATATTTATTATTGGAAATACCTATTCCTATCCAAATCAAGCAACACATACTCTGATTATAGACAACTCTGGAGTAAACTTGATGCTATATATTTTGAAAACCTGAAGAGAGAAAAATGTCATTTCTGCATAGAAATTTGTCACTAATTCTCTCATTTACTCATCATTTTATTCAGCAACATTTATTGCATCCCTTATCTAAATTTTAGCCTTGCAGACATAGTTTTTGAGTAACTGAGATAAGACTACTCTAAACTGAAATGTGCTATGAATGTGAAATATCACTGGGCTTTTTGTATCTAGTATAAGAAAAAATGTAAGAAGTTCCGTTAATAATTTTTATTGATTACATACTTAAATTCTTACATTTTGGATCTATTGACTTAAATAAAACATTATTAAAATTGGCTATACTTTTTTTTTTACCTTTCTTAATGTGGTCACTAGAAAATATCATACATTTACATTTACAATTGTCTCAAAATTGTTACATTTATTAATATCTAGTAAGTATAATATAGAATATATTTCTATTGGATAGTGATATTTAGAAATATTAAAAAAAGAAGAGGTTGAGGGCCCTCCCTGGTGGAGCAGTGGGTTAAAGCACAGCACTTCAGCATGAGTTCGATCCCTGCCTGTCCTGGAGGAGATCCACGGTGTGGCAGACCTCTCCTGACCTTCCTGCTGCTCCCATCAGCTGTGTACTTCATCAGTCTAACTGTTCTGCTCCCATTATGTCTATGGTGAATCCTCTCACCGCCCCTGCATCTCTAGCCTGCACCCCAGTTCTGTATGTATAAATAAATATTAAAAAAAACCCAAACAAACATAAAAGAAGAGGTTGAAAGAAACTCTCATTGACCAAAATTTCGTCTAGCCCTTCATGATTAGTTCTCCATGTTGGTTCCTGGTTTATCCCAGTTTTAGCAATACTCATGCTAGGTCAGTTTAGAGAAAATCCCATATCCTTGATATATAATCAGTTTCCTCATCCCCTTATTACCTTTGATATATAATAAGTCTTTTCCCTGCCTTTAGCAAGCACCTTGTTAAATCAATTTATCTGGAATCTTCCTATCCTTGAAGCCCTCTCTCAATAATATTCCATTCATTGACTCCATCCCTCTGTTAGCGTCAAATCCCCACTTGGCTTTGCAATCTCTCTCCCCTATAGAAATATCTTCTTCACAGGATAGAAGAGCATAAGAGACAATGGTGATGGCTCATGGATGACTTGGTAGTGGGAATTTTATGGGAACTACATCTGAGAAGAGAAAGCAAGCTGTACAAAAATGAATACTGAGCTAAAATATATAATGGGAAATTTTAAAAAGATATAGCCCTATTGCAATAGTCTTGCCTAAAAAGTCTTCTTTTAACAAGTGTCAAAATAATTTTTTCCTAAACAAGTATCAGAGAAATTTTTCCTAAACAAATCAAAATTCCTGTCCCCATGGAAATCATGAGACGATGATGACTAACGACAAACAGGCCAACAGGCTGAAGCTGGCCAGAGTGGAGGGGAGCAAGCTGCTAGCTCTGTTGGGGTAGTGAGAAGCAGACTCTGTATGGAGGTTGCAACCCTTGTTTCAAAGGATACGACCATCCTGGGAAATAGTACTGATGGTAGAAGAACAGCAAGGGTAAAAGCACCAAGGTGAAAAGAATGTCATCAGCAGGCAAGTGAGGGCTAAGTTAAATCAAGGTCAGTCATAGCTCATAGCATACAGAGCACTGCATGCAGGCTGTGGTGAGGGGAATGGGTTTTGTTCTAAATCAGTGGGAAACCATTGTTTCCCATTATTTTAAGCAAAGAAATGCCATGATGTGATTGTGTTTTGTTTTGTTTTACATTGGCTTCAAAGACACAATAGACTACAGGTAGTAAGAGTGGAAGCAGCAAAAGAACTATCACAACTTCTCAGGCAAAGGCGGCTGAGATAGGACTGTGACAGTGGAATCAAAGAAATAGCAATACTGGGAGCAGCATTTGCAGATGTTCCAGAAGTGGGAACAGACAAAAAGAGGTATCAAGGACAATCGGTAGGTGGCTTAAGTAACTAGCTAGGGGGCATGCCATTAATAAGCTGAGAAAATTATTTAAAAAGAGGTCTTTGCTCTTTTAGTTGACATAACATTAAACAGAGAAAGGAAAAGATGAAGAAATAGCTGAAAAAGACACAAGTATCCATCTATTCAACAAATATAACTGAACATGTAAAAACATACAAGACTAAGCTCTATCTTGCTATGAATATATAAGTATGAAAATATTTTTTAATTGGAAAGAGATACTCAATACTACATTCAGAAAAATGTGGTGTGGCATTATTATATTTAGTAAGGTGCATTGATATTTCGGTTATTACTATGATTCATAATCATCACATATGTTACAGGTTAAAATATTTTTAAGTATAAAACAATGCATTAATTAATTTTCAGTATTCTTCCTGACAAGTGAACTATAATTTCAACTTCTAGGGAGGAGATTTATTGGCAGTCATGTCAGCTAAACCTCCCTGGTTCAATCAATTCTGGTCAGGAATTGAGTAGGGGAAAATACAACCAACTACAAGTTGCAGTGACTATTGAAGATGATTATATAAGTATATAGCAGGAATTAAGAGATCAGTTCCCAGATATGCCTTGTTTTACTGATGAGCTCAAGGCTTCAGAGACAGAGAGTTCAGGACAGATGGAAAAAGAGGGCATTTTACATACAGACTTGGTTAAATTATTTAAGCTTTCCTGTAACGTAGATATAATTGTTACCTTAAAGGGTTGTTCTCAGAATTATATGTTGTAAAAACACTTAATACATGGTAGGCACTTAATAAATGTTGCTTTTACATTGCAATTTCAAGTTTAAGGGATAATTAATAGTTCTGCTCAGTTTTGTACTCAGTTTGATGGATATATAACAACTGTGCTTTAATTTACATAGGATAAAATGCAACTGAGAAGTACTGCATTCATCAAGTTTCTACTTTTATAGCCATTTATGTGGGCGCATGTAACTCATGTCTTCCTGTGACAAAGTACAATGTTGTTAAGGCCATGGCATCATAATAGGCTCTGAAAAACAGATCAGTAATGCTTTTCTCAAGTGCAATTTTTCTCCTCATGTCACACTGGTGCTGCTATCAATGGTTATTGAGTACTAGGGAAAAAAAGACACAGCACTCAACATAAAGCATAAAGGACCAAATGGAACAGATTCTGAATTCAATATTGAATAAGATGGGCATCTATTATCAAGGTTCTCAATAAAATTCATATATAGAAAGATTATCAAAAGCACAGTAATTGACTTTGAGTGTTATGCAGACACCGAAATAGACAGGATGAAAGCTGAAGGGCAGTGTTACAACTAGTAATATGAAAGCAGGCAGACAAAAAAAAATCTTATTGGAAGACTCATGGTATGTAGCATCTTTAAAAATGAAATCTAGGCCTTCCCAGGTGGCGCAGTGGGTTAAAGCACCACACTATGAAGCTATCCCCAGTCACTGCAGCACGAGTTCAATCCCCGGCTAGGGAGATGACCCCCATGTCATGGCAGACCTCTTCTGACCCACCTCTGCTTCCCTCAGCAGTAT